CATATGTTGCTAAACTTTTTAAACCAGAAATTCCTAACCCAGGCTAGGCAATCAGAGTCACCAGGGAAGATTTAAAAATTATAAATTTCCAGTCCCCACCCCAGACCAATTATGTAAGAATCTCTAGATATAGGAGTCAGGACTAAGTAGTTTCTAAATATCCTTAGGTGATCCCAGTGTACAGTCAGGAGTGAGAATCTTTGATTTCTTTCTTTCTTTTTTTTTTTGAGATGGAATCTCAGTCTGTCACCCACACTGGAGAACAGCGGTGTCATCTTGGCTCACTGCAACCTCTGCCTCCTGGAGAACCTTTGATTAAAAAAGCAACACATACAGAAATAATACCCACTGATTGAGCATTGGGACTGAATAGTAGGTGTGTTTCAGATAATTACCTCTAATTTAATCCCATTAAGGTAGTCACATGTAAATAATGACAGATATGGCAATATGTGGGATGTCATAAGAGCTGTACAAACAAAATTTTCTATAAATATAGGAAAGAAAAGATTGCTTCTATCTTAAGAGCCCAGGAGAGGTTTCATATAGGAAATAGCATCTGAGCTAGACTTAGAATCATGGTAGTATTTCAATAAACAGAAATGGAGGGACAGTAAGGAATGATTAGTTCAGGTATAGAAATGTATAAACCAAATCCTAAATTATGTTTGTGTCTCATACAAACCAACTAATTTAATCTTCACAAACACAAAGGTTGCTCTTTCTATTTTACAATGAGGAAACTGAGGCCCAGATAAGTTGAGGTCATACAGCTTGGAAGTAGCCCAACCAGGATAGTTTTCCAAGTAGGGAGTCTGGCTCCCAGAGCCTACATGTTCAACTATGATGCTCTAACATTTCCACAGTCATGTGCAGTGCTGTTCCTTGGGAAGATTAATCTGGCCACAGAATAGATAATGATGACAGAAGGAGTGAAAGATGAGGCTGAGAGATAAGCTAGTGCAATAATTAGCCTGGGATGTGACCGAAGTCTGAACTAGAATATTAAGCCCTTGAGTTATTACTATAGGTAGGGCTGCTCATCTTCTCTATGAAGGAAAAGAGAAAATGGGTTTATGCTTTTTCAGGAAGGATTTGAATTAACTCTGAGAAAGGACAATCCTGTGGTGAAGGTTGGTAGAAAAATAAACAGAACTTGAGGGGAAGGAAATTGTGGGATCTCTTAGGAAGGCTGGAAGATGGAGAAGACCTCCTAGCGTTCGTCCAGGACTTCAGACTCTCTGAAGTGCCTATGCGTAACAAATAGCCCACCTGGACCCTTGAAACATTATGGAAATCTAAAATGCACAGAAACTAGTAGACAAACCAATCTTTTCATTAAGTGTTTGAACTTGCTAAAGAGTAATCTTCAGGCAGAAAGGGTTTTTCTTTTCTAGGCTGGAACCCCCTGCTTCCATTCCATAAAGAACAGTAGCACCAGACACTGACCCCTTCCTTCAAGGTGGTTCCCCAGAATTCTATGCTCCATATTTTCTCCTGCATCTCCCCTGTCTCCCTTCCCTTTCTTCTCTCCAATCCATTGGAACTAAGCCCAGGATACTCCTCCTAGAAAGTAGGGCAGTAGGCTCACCCACCCAGTTTCATCAGTTTGCAAGCACATCCCACCTTGCTGTTCTGAGCCCAACAGCCCTTTTTTGCCCCCATATTGAAAGACAGTCTTGCCCCCACTCTGATATTTTCCAGAACAAATAGGAAACCAACCTCGGCCTATTTTTCAGATGGGGACTTCTGAAACTATGCCACAGTAATACTGGACTGGAACGGGAGCCAGAGAGCCTTAGGAAACTAATGGGATGTTCTGCTTAAAACAGAAAAAAGTAGGCAGCTTTTTCCAATGTGGTCTTCCTGACCTATTCATGAAGTGCCTCGCTCAAGAACCCTGTGGTATGTGGCACAGCACAAATAATACTGAATGGGGAGTCAGAAAACCTGGGCTTCATAGAGTACCCAGTTCTGGTCAGTCTCATCCTGGTTTGAATCTGTTTCCCTCGTCTATAAAGAGATGATAATGTCACAAAAAAAGAGCTTCCAGGTGGAGTTACGCAACAGTGTCTGTGAAGGAATTTTGCCAAAAAACTGAAGTGGAATCTGGTCAAGTCTCTATATCACCTCAATTTACAGGGAATATAACATAGAACATTATATCAAAACATGTGTAGTCAATAAATGCAGACCAGATTGTGCAAAAAGCTAAAACAAACAAAAAAACAAAGAAGGTTTTCCTAATAAATACAATACAAGGAGGGAAGGATAGAGACAAGGAGAAGAGAGGGAGAGGAAACCAAGAAACTAAGCTTAACAGAGCCTTAAGAGACATATCAGTCATTTGTAATGTACGGACCTTTGTATTCTTATGGGAACATAGCTGGTTGAAATTGTATTGTGAGACAGTAAAATCTGAACACTGAATGAATACTGTATGTTATTAATAATGTATTCTTAGTATGCTTTTAGGTTTGATAATGGTATTACAATTATAATTTTAAAGTCTATATTGTTCAGAGATACATGTTATTTTGAGATAAAATGAGATGATGACATAAAGGATTTGCTTCAAAATAACCCAGAGATGTGTGATGAGGGAGTGAATGGAGAAATAGATAAATTACTAATTGCTGAAACTGGATAATGGGTATATGGGGGTTCATTATACTGTTTTCTGTACTTTTGTTGTGTTTGAAAGTTTCAATAACAAAGTTTAAAAGCAGAAGTATAGACTACTCCAGCAATTTTGGAGTCCCAGAATTCTGAAAATAGACCTGGAAGGCTATTATAAGGTGAGACGATGTGTATATGTGAATGAAGGCCGCTAAAGCCCATCCCTGCTTTATTCTCAGCAACACCACTTTAATAAGTTTTCTGGATAGCTTGAACATGCTATCTTTGGCAACCCAGGCATACTTGAGCTTGGTTTCAGGCTAGCCAAGCTGCTTATACTTTAGCCTGAGGGAGATCCACTTTTAAACTTCTAAATACAAACAAAAGTAGAGAAGAGTATACATGGTACTTTTCCTAGCCCCCATTCATTCTTAGGCTTCTCTGTAGCTTGGGGTCCCTGGAACTTACTGCCTCCTGAATCAGGGGTCTCCAAGACCTCCTCCCTGATTCTAGGCACATTCTGTGAGTGTCAGGAATATGATTTCCACTTTGCCTCAGACAGCCCTCCCTCATTACAAGGCCTCCTTCTCTTCCCTAGTGAATAAGGCACACCCACTCTCCAGCCTGGATGACTCATTTTTCAGAGGCCTACTTACCTCCACTCTTCCACCCCAGTAGTTTTCCAGAACCAATCATTACATTTTTTGTTGAAAATGCCTTTTACATACAGTACAATAAAAAGTCTTAATTTCCAGGAATAGAGGAAGTAGAAAAGACTTTAGGGGAGGGCCAGGGGAGGGTCATAATTTTGTGTCAGATCTGCCCTGACTAGGGAATAAATGACTGTGTGCAATGATATAAACCCTACTGATATGGTTTGGCTCTGTGTCCCCACTCAAATCTCATTTCAAATTGTAGTCCTCATAATCCCTATATGCTGAGGGAGGGGCCTGGTAGGAGGTGATTAGATCATAGGGGCAGTTTTCCCCATGCTGTTCTCAAGATTGTGAGTGAGTTTTCACAAGATCTGATGGTTTTATTAAGTGTTTGACAGTTCCTCCTTCCCAAACACATTCTCTTTTTCCTGCTGCCTTGTGAAGAAGGTACTTGCTTCTCCTCTGCCTTCTACCATGATTCTAAGTTTCTTGAGGCCTCCTTAGCCATGCAGAACTATAAGTGAATTAAACCTCTTTTCTTTATAAATTATTTAGTCTCTGGTAGTATCTTCATAGCAGTGTGAAAATGGACTATTACATCCACCAAATGAGCATGTCAACAAGCAGACATATTGTTAAATATTCTATTGGTGTAGGAGTCAGCTATGGATGCTGAGCTAGGAAAACAAGGTCACTCTCAGAGCCTGGATGGGACAGAAGGTGGTACTCAGTTGATGTCATAGTTTAGATATTTGACCCCTCTAATTTTCATGTTGAAATTTGATTCCCAGTGTTGGGGTGTGGTCATGGATGCAGAGTCCTCATCAATCGCTTGGTGCCTTCCTCAAGGTAATGAGTGAGTTTTGCTCTATTAGTTCTGCAAGAGAACTAATAGAGCCTTAAAAGAGCCTGGCACTCCCTCCTCTCTCTTGTGCTTCCACTTGCCATGTGATCTACACACACCAGCTCTCATTCATCTTCCACCATGAGTAGAAGCTTCCTGAGGCCTTCAGCACAAGCAGATATTGATGCCATGCTTTTCGTACAACCTTCAGAACCATGAGCCAAATAAACCTTTTCTTTACAAATTACTTAGCCTCAAGTATTCCTTTATATGAGTACAAAAACAGGCTAAAGCAATTGGAAGGGGAGACCTGTCAGACTGCCTCTCTCATTCTCTAACTTCATAGTCCTCTCTTCTATGATAGCCCTAAAACAGAAACAGAAGCAGCTCTGAGAGACAATTCTAGAAGCACTGAAGTGCTGAAGTAGGGCCAGTCTACCAGCCACACTCTCTGAATTTTACTCCAACCCTATGAAAAACAAATCCTTGCCTACCCAGAGAGGTATGCAGCACCTCATTCCTGCTCCCAATTCTCACTGTTGGCTTGCAGCCATCAGCTCTCTGCAAAATCCAGCAAGCATACTGTCATCTTTAGAACGAATATGAAAGGATGGCTTTTACCTTCTCCCCAAATTTACTTTTGCTGAATGTCAAATTGGAGGATATATTTCCCTACTTGCCCCTATCCCAGTCTCTGTTCATCCCTAGCAATAGATGCTTTCCAAACAGCTTGAGTTGGAGATGCCCGATAGAGCATCCTTTCAGTGTGTCTGGATCTAATGAGATGAGAAGTTCTGCTTTACAGAATTTGATGCTCATCTTCAAGCCCCTTCCTCTCTCATTTGGTAGAGGTACCAGAAGGCTAATGATGAAAATGCCTGGGCGCCCGGCGCCTCCACCGCCACGTCTGCCGCCTCTACAAGCTGCACAGCAGCCAGCGCTACTGTGGGGTATGCCTGGGCCTGCTGGCCGGCGCGCACGATCTCCCCCGTCTGCTGGGCCGTGCCCTGGCCGTGGTCTTTGCTGTGGGTGACCTGGCAGCAGTGGCCCTCATCAATCGGGACTTTCTGACTACCTCGGAGGCCGTGCGGTTCTGGACGCCGCTCACCATCTGCTACACGCTGCTGGTCATCTACATGCAGGAGGAGCAGCGGCAGCACCCTGGCCTGCAGAGTCAGGTGCAGACGGTGCTGGTGTGCATGGGCGGTCTCTTTGTGCTGCTGCTGACTGTGGGCCGCTGGCTGGACCTGCTGGGCATCCTCGTTTCCCTGCTGGGCGAGCTCTGGTGTCTGGTGGGCGTCCGCACCCTACTTGACCTCTGCCAGATACAGGACATTCCAACCCAGAGGCCTTCGGTGTCAACGCCAAGCCAGCCCCTGCCCTCTACACCCCAGCCCCAGAGTTCAGCCTCCTCCTGACCTGCCTCAGGGAGGATCTGAAGTCTGTCTCAGGCCCACCAGGCTGACCTTTGAGGACTTGACCCCAGGACGATGCCTGGAGACAGAGTGATGGGGCTGGCCCCCTGCCCGGAGCTCAGTGCAGGCCCTGGGAGCCCCAAGAAGGGAAGGCAGGATTTAGGGATGGGAGACTCTGGAAAGGAGACACCTGAGGGCCCTGGTTGAACTCTCTTTTTCTCAGGGTGGGCAGTGGTGCAGCCGCTCAGACCTGCCTTCCTGGGCAGGGGTGGGGGTGGGGGTGCATCCTCAGAAGGGCTCCCCCTTTACTGGCTCCCCTTGCCCTCTTCACAAACAATAAAGACGATGACTTTCTCAAAAAAAAAAAAATGAATGAGCAAAGTCTCCAAGCAATATGGGACTATGTGAAAAGACCTAATATACGCTTGATTGGTGTACCTGAATGTGACGGAGAGAATGAATTCAAGCTGGAAAATACTCTCTAGGACATTATCCAGGAAAATTTTCCTAATTTAGCAAACCACGACACTATTCAACCCCGGGCAATACAGAGAACACCACAAAGATATTCCTCAAGGGAGACCAACCCCAAGGCACATAATCGTTAGATTCACCAAGATCGAAACGAAGGAGAAAATATTAAGGGCAGCCAGAGAGAAAGATCAAGTTACCCATAAAGGTAAGCCTATTAGGCTTACAGCAGATCTCTCAACGGAAACCCTACAAGCTAGAAGAGAGTGGGGGCCAATATTCACTATACTTAATCAACAGCACTTTCAGCCCAGAATTTCATATCCTGCCAATTTAAGCTTTACATTTGAAGGAAAATAAAATCTTTTAGGAACAAGCAAGTACTCAGAGATTTTATTACCACCAGACCTGCTTTACAAGAACTTCTAAAAGAAGCATTATACACAGAAAGGAACAACCAGTATGACCCTTTCTATAAATATACCAAAAAGTAAAGAGCATTAACATAAAGAAGAATTTTATCAACGAAAGGACAAAATAGCAGTTAATATCAAACGGCAGCAACCCTAAATTTAAAATCGACCAAATCTCCCAATCAAAAGATACAGACAAAATCTAACGGTATATCTAAAGATATACATAGACTCAAAATAAAGGATTGGAAAAAAAAGAAAATGTACCAACCAAATGGAGAGCAAAAATAAATAAATAAAAAGCAGGAGTTGCAATTTTCACATTTGACAAAATAGATTTCAAAGGCTACAAGGATACAAGGGTAAAAGGATTAATGTAATAATAAGAGATCTTAACACCCAGATACATAAGACCCATAATGAGATTTAGATTCAACGAGACAGAAAATTGATGACGATATCCGGGACTGGAACTAAGATCCCGAACAAATAACTCAATAGAGCTCTCCATTTTAACACACAAACTATACATTATCCACAAAATCTAACGATATATCTAAAGATATACAAAGACTCAAACAAGGGGATGAAAAAACTCACCAACCAAATGGAGAGCAAAAATAATAAATAAAAAGCAGGAGTTGCAATACTCACACTTAATAAAATAGATTTCAAGCTACAAGGATGCAAGGGTAAAAGGATTAATGCAACAATAAGAGATCTTACACCCAGATACATAAGACACATAATGAGATTTAGATTCAACGAGACAACAAATTGATAACGATATCCAGGACTTGAACTCAGAGCCAGAACAAATAAACACAATAGAGGTCTCCATTTTAAACACATAAATATGCATTAACCACTTTAAACACTCAAATATTGATCGGCCATTATTGAAACCCATTTTAGGAATGAAGTAATATTCCTTTCTCCCTCTTTTTCTTTTTTTCCCCTTCTTTTTCTCTTTTTTCCCTCAAAAAAAAAATAGCCTCAAAAAAAAAAAAAAAAAGAAGAAAATACAAAAATTAGCGGTATGTCCTGGCAGGCTTCTGTAAAACAAAAAAAACAAACAAACAAAAAAAAAAAAAGAAAATGCAGCACAGCTCCAAGCACCAGATACTCAGGCTCTTAAGAAGAGGGGATCATCTTTTCCTTGATTGGAACCCATCTTCCCTCCTGTTTGGGACCCATGCAGCTGCTGGGTGTTTATGGACATGGCCCACTCCACCAGTAAGGGAAATCCGCAAATAATCTGAAAACCTAATTTCAGCTACTATCATATTACCAGAATTTCCACCACTTTTCCTCTTTTACTTTTTAATATGGAAATATTCAAACATACACACAATAGAATCATATAGTGAATCCCCATTTACCCATTACCCAGCTTCAAAAGTTAAGAATTCACGGCCACTTTTGTTTCAAACTTCCTTTCTGGAGTATTGTAAAGCATATGGCAAACACACCATCATATCATTTCACTCATATGTATTTCAGATAATACCTTTTATGTTTTTTTGTAACAGATATGAACAAAAGATATGAGGTAGAGAAATTCTGGTCTTAGTTCTGCCACTGACATACACTTTAATTTTGGGATAGTCCCTTTTCCTCTCTAGACTTCAATTTTTTCATCTGCATAATGGAGTAGAAGATGTGGGAGCCGTGTGTGTGTGTGTGTGTGTGCGCGCGTGCGTGCACGTGCGTGCGCTTTTCAAGTTTTAAAGTGCACAGGTGTTCCCTGTTACAATGGAGATTCTGATTCAGAAGGTCTCAAGTGGAATCTTAGAAATGCATGATGCATTTCTAAGAAGTATTCAGGTAATGCCCTGCTGCTGACCCACAGGCCATGCCTTGAGTAATAAGGCTAAGTTATCTCAAAGTCAGGGATGTTCCACGTTTTGCAATTCCACAAGAGTAAAATTCCTGATAATTTCATTCATATTTCTACCAGTAGGTGGGAATCATGGTTTAAATCTTCCCAGGCAAACTGGCCCAATTTTTAAATCCTTAAGTGAAGGCTAATCATTGATTCCAGTCAGTGATGTGCTAAAGCCAGCATACACCAATTCTCAAGAGCTGATTATAAACAATTTTCAGGAAATTTGCGAGCCAGTTGCCAAAAATCAACCATCCATTAAAAATTAAACTAACATCCATATTCCTAGTGGTAATATTTGCAATAGCCAAGAGGTCTGCTGACAGATAAATAAAATGTGGTAAACACACACAATAGAATAGTATTCAGCCTTAAAAAGGAAGGAAATCCTGTCACATAGTACACATGAACTCTGAGAACATTATGCTAAGTGAAATAAACTAGTTACAAAAAGACAAATACTGTATGATTCCACTTAAAGTAGTGAAATTCATAGATACGGAAAGTAGAATGGTGGTTATCAGAGGTTGGGGGAGGGGGAAATAAAGAGTTGTTGTTTAATAGGTATAGAGTTTCAGTTTTACAAGATGAGGAAGTTCTGGAGATCTGTTTCATAACAACGTAAATATACTTAACACAACTGTGTTTTTTATTGCAAATAAATTTTTATTAAATCATATAAACTCACAAATTATATAAAGACAAGAGTGATAAGTATTCATAATTCATCATTTCCAAAATATTTGACTACATTTTACTATTATATTATTACGATACTATATATGTGTATTATATATGTGATATATAACAAATATTTGCACTATTTTATTTGCATGCTAGAAACATTGTATAATAGTGTGCTACTGTGTGTCTCCTCCCACTTCTGCATTCAGTAACATGGAGCTGATAATTTGAAATTGGAAAACGCTACAAATTAGGTTGCTCCCTTCCCTCCATGTCCTAAAGAGCTGCTTGTTAAATATCTACCAGCACATCACTGGTTTCCAGGGCTTAACGAACTTTCACTGCTAGTAAATGCTTCCTCTAGAATTACCTCAAAAACACCTGTTGCATTTTTAAAATTTCTTTTCCAGAATGGAGGTGGAAATCAAGTTTTTGTTTTAAAGCATGGATTAAATTGACCTTCCAGCCACTGTGGTAAGGAAATAAGAAAGAGCTTAGAACAATGCATTATTCAATAAATATTAACTGAGCATCTCTATGTACCAGACTCAGAAATAGTAAAATTGCAAATAATTTAGAAAACCTATGCATGACGGAATCCATCTCTGAAGAATAATCTGGCACTATCTAAAACTGGTTCTAAGACATCTATTAAACTGGTTTTCTGTATGAGTGGTCTCATCTCCGTATAGAAAGGGCACTGGGTAGAGACGGGCTCAAATATTGGGTTTAGGACTAGCTTTGGGATCTTAAGCAAATTATTTCAACTCTCTGTGCCTCAGTTTCCTCATGTGTCACATGGGAGTAGAAGGATCATTATCATCATCATCATCATCATAGCTAACACATATATATGCTTATTGTATGTTTGGCACTGTTCCAAGGGATTTATGTAAATTCACTCATTTAATCCTCACAACAACTCTAAGAAGTTATTTGCTATTAGTTTCATTGCCAGTTTACTGATGAGTAAACTGAGGCACAGATAGGTGAAGTAGCGTTCTCAAGGTTACCATGGTTAGCAAATGAAGCGAGGGTTGTTATACGACCTCACAGCTCAAAGAGTCATTCAATTCTCTTCTGAAGAACCCATTGCCATGCCGAAGCTGGGAGCCCTGGTTAGGCCTCAAGGCTACAATCTGCTGATTAAACCTGAGTCACAGGGCAGAACCTCATAGACCTGAGAAGCAGTGAGGATAGATTTGAATCTCTTGAGACTTGGGAAATGAAGCAAGGACTTATCTGTCCAAATTGGAGCAAAAAGTCCAGAGAGCAGGACAGATGGTGGGAAGTTACCTTCTATAGATTCAGTCTGGAGAGAGAATGTCACATTTGCATTTGCAACCCAGATTCTTTTTTTTTTTTTAATTTTTTATTGGATTATAGGTTTTGGGGTACATGAGCAGAGCATGCAAGACAGTTGCATAGGTACACACATGGCAGTGTGCTTTGCTTTTCTTCTCCCCTTCACCCACATTTGGCATTTCTCCCCAGGCTATCCCTCCCCACCTCCCCCTCCCACTGGCCCTCCCCTTTTCTCCCCAATAGACCCCACTGTTTAGTACTCCCCTTTCTGTGTCCATGTGTTCTCATTTTTCATTACCCACTTATGAGTGAGAATATGCGGTGTTTCATTTTCTGTTCTTGTGTCAGTTTGCTGAGGATGATGTTCTCCAGATTCATCCATGTCCCTACAAACGACACGAACTCATCATTTCTGATTGCTGCATAATATTCCATGGTGTATATGTGCCACATTTTTCCAATCCAGTCTATTATCAATGGGCATTTGGGTTGATTCAAGGTCTTTGCTATTGTAAACAGTGCTGCAATGAACATTCGTGTACATGTGTCCTTATAGTAGAACGATTTATAGTCTTTTGGATATATACCCAGTAATGGGATTGCTGGGTCAAATGGAATTTCTATTTCTAAGGCCTTGAGGAATCGCCACACTGTCTTCCACAATGGTTGAACTAATTTACACTCCCACCAACAGTGTAAAA